TACAGGAATTGTTCTGGGAGAGACAGGAATCAGGCCACGAGGTGTATCGACTAGGAACCCGACAAGGGGTGTGTAGTACCCCAAGCCTGAATATTGCGTATTCTACCGCTTCCACGAACCCAGTAAACATGGCACAAGGACATGGGAAACGAGACATGGAACTGTGTCTAAGTTTGGATTTAAGTATGCCTAGGTCGGGGTCTTATTTGGACCAGTGTAGTCCTTTTTCGTGCAGTCGTGCCTCATCCCCAGTATTAAGCAAAACTGACAGACCCTTCGCCCACCAACAGTCTAGTTCCAGTCTCTTGGCTCCATCTTGTCTCACGGATATAGACGCCGCCAGTGTAGAGTGTTTGTACAGCGGCATAGGCCGTCTTGGCGTTAGCTCCATAGACATCCCGTGCTTAGATAATCAAGATAACGAACAACTCTCAGCATCAAATATGCAAGAAGTAGAAGCAGATAACCAGAATAGCGCCGGGGCACCAACGGCCGGAGATATTGAGGACATTCCGAGCGAAAGTGTGCCGGCGTTAGTGCGCAGGAGGCACTCTGTAATAAAATGTCGCAGTTGGCTAGCGTCTCTGCCAGCTGAGGCATCTGAGGAGGACGCTAGTTCGGAGACGGGGCAAAAATTCGAAACGAGCTAGTAAATTGGCTTAGTTCCCTAAATGACACTGCAGAAGATAAATACACAATTTTATTCACTAGAAAGCTCATCCGTCTCCAGGGAAACATCGAAATAAATAAGCAGTTGTTAGGTAATGGATTAAAAAATGAATGCCCCGCAGTGCTTATTTTGTGCTGAAATGACAAAAGGATAAACGTTCTTCACCTGATATGACATTATAAATTCATTGCCTATGCTTATGAACTAGGTCATTGGACAGCTTGAATGAGGCTTATCATTCTTATATGTAAAAAATATCACCATATATTTCATAAGGCAAACAGGCACCCGCTACCTCTTTGGTCTGCCTCTCCCTGCGTATGCTATACACGAGAGGTCTGTTTCTGTTGTACAATTGATGTGTCAAAGTAGCAGGGTATACATGTGTATACCGCATATTAATTTGTAAATGGTTCATCAACCCACATTTTCTATGGTATTATCTGGCTAATTTTTTTAACATGAGGCATTGTTTCCAATTATAGAGAAACTAGTTAAAACAAAGACCACGCCAAACCGGAAATCGGACTTCTGTCAGCAGACAATCAGATTGACTATCTTGGAATTTAATGAGCGAGATACTATTATCTGAAGTCTATTCGTATTCAGTTTGCGATATGTAGGGAACGCATTTGATTTTCGATCTATAGCCGTGTTCATCTGAGCAGACATTACGTTTAATACGATCTAATGCCGTATGGATTTCAGTTCGCCAGAGTAGGTTATATAATGGTTATCTTGCTGTTTCAGTGGAAGTGGCACAATCTTTCAGTGTGGATATGACTCTGTTAAACAGCATATGAATTTCACTTTATGGTAATGTCGGCTGTAATGTGGCTGCCATTTGATTCAATAGGCATTATTGCCTTGTTTGTCTGACATTTACTTGCCCCCTGAAATGTCATTTCTTTTGTGAATTCGACTTAATGGGTTTTGGTATGCATACACACGCACGCACACACACACACACACAGAGAGAGAGAGAGAGAGAGAGAGAGAGAGAGAGGGAGATGAAGCCTAGTCAGTTTCCAGTCGTCTTCAAATAGTAGCCAGAAGAGGATGATTTGAAACTGGGCTCGCTTGTAAGTCTGTTGCAGCTGCCTCTTGCAACTACAGTACCAAGCAGCTGTGATGAATCTCAGTTGAAATCTCTTTAAGAAGGAAAGTTAGACATTATTTTTCAGTAGTCTGCTGTGGCTACTTTTTATTAAGTGTTAAAGCTTTGTCATAAACTATACACCTACATTGAATCTTCTCAGATTTGGTTTAAAAGTGAAATAAAGGGGCTCGTTGCGTTCGACATGGTGACGTCAATACTCTAGAGTGGCATGGGCTACAGACACGTATGTATTGGCGTTATCTCTGTCTGTAGAGGTTTTGAACCCAGATATTGTTTCCATGATTGTGTTAAGGAACTACAAGTCCCGGCTTTTGTGAGTGCCCTTTAAAGAGAACTCGGTGATAATTAAAGTCTATTGAATGTATACAGGATTTCTCATTATTTTCGCTCCCTCCTGCCAACGCTGCTTTAAACTAACGAGCTGCATGTTAAGTTAACTCTAAACAAAAGTGTTTCAAATTTATTTCCTAATTAATATCTGGATTTACCATGATTTTGGTAGAAATATGCCGTGTTCCAGTCTTTAAATTGTTTTATTATTCTTTCCAAATGGTTCGTAATGAAAAAATCTCATTTGTCATTAGAATGGCCCATTTGAAAGAAAATATAATTTGCAGAAATTGCGTCCGGCTACATGTCAAAAATGCTTTCACTGTCAATTTACGATTCATCTGTACAAACGTAAAACATTTGACATTCAAAATAAAAGAGATTCGATGGGAATGCAAAATAATCGATTTCTCAGCTTTTTTCCTGCCCTTCTAGAGGCAACAACATGAAGAAATTTACAAAATGTAATGTAGCCATGACAACAATTGCTAATTACGAACTGTTCTCATCTTTGGACTTTGCATTGTAAGGTACAGACTTCATGTAGTTATTCATACGTGAACCAACCTAAGATGGGGAAACCACTCAAATGCCCATTATCAGTTATAACATCGTCTGCGTTAGTGATAAAATTCAGCTGATTCCGATGATGTCGATATTAACCGTTGGATAGACGAAAATCTCTTTACTGTAATGTTGACACATATGCAGTGCAATATTAGATTTCTTAACAACATATGGTGTTTTTAATATTAACGTGGAGGCTTAAGCTTATGTGACAGTGCTCTTCATAAAAATGCATTAGTCATTCGGTTATCGCAGTGATAAGCATGGTATTCTTCGTATATTCAGTCATGTACACTATGCAAGGAGAGTGTTGGTCTTGCTAATATTTTTACACATATTTAATCACCACAAGAGTCAATATTCATATCACGTGAAATGATTCGTGCCGTAAGATGGTATTTTAAGTAAAGCAAATGCTGTTAAAAGGCTGTTTCCATTCAACCTTATTATCGCAGGCAAAATGGGAGACTTGCAAAGGGTATTGATCCAGTTTATCGATTTACCAAGCCAATAACGGAAGAGAATTTAATCCCTTGCGAAATCGGGGACTGATTTTTCCCTTCTATGCATGTTGTGATTTTTGTGACTGGAAGCTTTCGCTATTTACGCTCCTGCTCTGATGCACTGTAGAAACCCAAAAAGGATCTGATGAGCGTGTAGTAGTGCACACATAAGTTCTCATCGTACAACTCTTCTGGTCACGTATATATGGATTGCATCGCGTGTAGCCGAGGGAATACTTCCAATAATTGCCGAAGCACTTGCGTAAAGAGAAACAAAATTTGGCAACACTCTGTACATGCTTCCTATGATTCGGGAACACTAAAAAACAGACCGATACTGTAGACAGATTTTTCACATCACAACATGTTACATATAGATGCGTATTGTATATGTGCGTATGTAATGCCTCGTATAATAAACAAAAAATAACAAGGACTGTCATTTAGTACTAAAATGTTTATACTTTGTATTATCCCTGCACAAGGATGATTCGGTAAGTGAAGAGAAAGTTGATGAGCCAATTGAGATATTTTATTTTATTTCATATTATGGTCACTTCCACATAGGCGTACGTAAAAAAATACATCAGTAATGATAATATGGTGAAATAAACATCCGTAAACTAGGTTTAAAGGCTTCCAAACTTAAACAGATTTTCGTCACGAGCATGCACAATCGGTTTCTGGTGAGATTTGCCAAAATTGGACCTTGCAAAATGACCTTGGCAGATAAAGCCAAAAATATACATATAATCGTGAGTTTTAAGAAAGAGCGTTGTGCTGGCTTTCACGCACATATTGGATTTGATGTAACACTTTTTGTTGAAACCAAAAGAACTGAAAGTACACCATTCATGCATGAAATATGCTCATTAGAGTTAACCGTTAAATATTTATGATAGCTACATGTAAAACCAGAAGAAATGATAGTACTACAAGCATGAAATATATTCATTAGAAGTTTCCCTGAGATATTTATAATAAAAACTTTGAAATGAGGTCACGAAAAGCGATCGTTATATATCTACCGAATCCCCCAACCAAATGATAAGAAATCGTCCAATACAGAAATGGAGTGGCAAGAAAGGAAATGAGAAAGATAACATAAAACAGATAAACGCAAGTTATACAAACGAGACAGTGATTCAAATCGTATAGATTTGGCATCGGAAGCCAGTGAGAGGTACACGCTGAACGATTAGGTTGTCTTCTTAAACTTTTGCGATTTCGCTTCAAATGAACTGCAGTGATATAGAAAGAAAGTGTTACTGTGTCATAGCATAGAAATCTATAGAAATACGGAAAACACTGTGAGCGAAAGGCGACGGTGCAGCGATAAACCAACAGATTGATAAATTTGTTTGCTAATAAAATTGCTAATTGAAAGCATCTTTTCTCGATGGAAAATAAATTCAATCAGAAATGTTAAAAAATTGTGTAAACTGTTCTGAATAGTTAAAACTGTTTATCTTAACTCGCAAAATTAAATAAAACCCTTGTCAGAGGTGCAGTACGTTCTGCATTGACATTTTATTTTCCCTAAAGCTGTGTTTTTTTTTCAAATTTGACTACTACAAAGTCTTTGGTGGATATTGACAAAAATACAGTTTATTGACATTACATTATAACATAAAAACATCAACAAATATCAACGACAGAACGCATTTTACAAAATACAAAACAAATTCACATTCAAATTATGTGTGAAAGAAGAGCTTAATCTAGAGTCTTCGGTTTTTAAATTATGCATTCAGATTAGATATTTTTCTATAAGATTCAGACCTTAAAGTATTTAAGTAGCAGTGATCAGTTAAGCTGTAAGGGGAATGTTTAATTCTTTTCTTAAATGCTCTAGGTGGAATTTGAAGTTACAAGCCTTCTTCAGTCTTTGGTTCAGCTGTAGGAAAATCAATGTGTGTGCCACGTCTTTATGGCTCACATTTCCAAAGCACATTAACAATATGACAATACTTAAATATATATGGAGGTGAATAAAAATTATTTCAACAGTTCACCTTGTTGGAAGAAGATCATATATGAATATTTCGTAATTTGAAATGACTAAGTTCCGTGTTGTTAAATGCATAGTATGCACTCAAGTTCATAACAAAACCGGATTTAGACCATTTACGTTCGGACTGTTACGCTTATTTTCCAATTTTTCTGAGCCTGTTCCTCAATAAGTTGGCAAAGAAATTTGGTGGTAATGTCGGTGGTGCCTGTGTAGGTGAGGGAAGCCCATGTGCGCTCCTAAAACCAGTGAAGGCCCTGTTGGCAATTCTTCTAGCAGCAGCGAAGGACTGGGCTTCGAATATGTGGTCGGGAATTGGAGGCGAAACCAAGGCCTCGATGCTCGCGAGATTTACCCTAGGGCCGATAGGACTGGCAAATATCTCTACACCTAATATAATAGAATAAAAGTTTATATTATTTTAGTTTTTATACATAAAGATTAAGATTTCATTAAAACACTCCATGCAAAATATGCAAAATTGTCAAAAACAGAACGAATTAAGTTTATAAGGGAATAATGAATATTGGTAAACTCGATCACTCCCCTTTCCACGCGCCAATCTGACCTAAAAATCTTACCATTAGCCTTGAGCGCGTTTGCCACTGGGACGGGGTTTTTCCCGCTATTTTTATTGCCATCTGTCAGTATCCACAATAAACGCACGCGTCCAGCACCCGAAGCAGCATCCAAGACCGTTTTAGCTTTTTCAAGACCCACGCCCGTTGCTGTACTTGGACCTGTTGAAACATAAGAAGAAAAAAAAAAAGATAAATAATGAGTATGCACTTTTAGATTTGGGACAAAAGTGTTCGGAAGAGAAATGCATTTGCTGTGCTGTGCGCAGCTGTTATGATGTTCAAGTTGAGAATGTCGGTAGCATTGCTTTGCAAAAAGAACGACTTGTGCTAATACAGCGAAACAGGTGACTTTAGGCTGAGAAAAACGACTGAAATAAAACGCTCAGCGACATAGAGAAATATTCCCCCCTCCCCCCAGGGGTAAGATCCGTCTTTACTTATGTCACACATACCGTTGTCAAATTTAATGCCGTCGATTGCCGTCTTGACGGCTGCAGGATTGCTATTGGCCGTGAAGGTGAACTGGGTGCGGGTAAGGGCAGGGGAAGAAAAGCTCACACAGGCAATTCTTGATCCTGTGCTAGAGATTGGTGCCTGTTGGTCCACAAAGTCTACGACTGCCTGGAAATGGAATAAAAAATAACAATGATGATTATAAAACAAAAAATAAAGTGTTCTTAAAAGAAATTTAAAGCTTAGAGAAGAAGAAAAGAAACATATATAGACTATTTTTATTGTTCGTTCGTTTCTGCCTCGAGCCCTTTTTTTTTAGACAAAATTTTGTCGTTGGGGAAGTGGAATCCTGTTATATATTGCATTACACTATGAACACAAACGTCGGTATTGAAAATTAATTATTCTCAACAGCATAATTAAGGACAGCCTACGTGTATCCACACTTGCAAATCATGCACCGTTCGTACCCGGATGCGGATGAAAGGCGCCTGTAACCACCTCCGCACGCAACAAGTCAATCCCAGTCCAATGTAAAGAATTTAATTGCACCTAATCTAAATCAAGTGACAATTTATTTCGCAGTCACCTAACTTCCCCCGTTTTATGTTTTAATTCTAACTGCAAATTGAACTCACCTTCATCATGTCCTTGCCAACGGTGAAGTTTTGTTGTCGAACACTACCGCTGCTGTCGAGGACAAATATCAGGTCTATCTTGGGTACAGCGCCACCATTCCTGCCTACTTTACTACCGATCTTGCAGCCAAGCCCAAGACAGCCAGACCGCGATGTGCTTGTTGTTGGTAAAAACTTTGATAAAAATCCTCTTTGAAATGCATCTGCGACAGCTTGTTCACTGCGGAACCCCGTAAGACCTGAAATGATTGTTTGGAAAGTTAGGTAAATCTCTCAAATCTCAAGACTTTTTTTCGAAATTGCTCTCAAAAATCTGAAACTAAATTTTACAATTCCCATTCATGGTATGAGAATATCATTATTATAGCATTTTAAAATAAGATTTAGATTCCTGACTTATATGTACGTGTAAGTTTCCGACCTTCAACTTGACATCAAAATTGATAACTGACTTTGATTCGGCTAAAGGGAATTTGATCCCTCTATTTTAAAGATAGTTTTCGTACAGATAAAATTGATTTTTCAAAAGAATGCATCGATTGGCAACTTACCTAATGAAGCCTCAACAAATAACAATGCTAATACAAACAGTGCCTTCCACATTTTGATGCGTTGTAAACAGTGCATGAAACTCCTATACTGGTGAAGCCGTATTGACCTTAGTTTTTATATACTGTTGTAACCCGGATCTATGAGTCTGAGTCATTTTCGGCTCGTCAAATCAAGTTTTAACGGAAATGTGGATTGAATTAAATTTGGAAAAACCAGGATGCAGTGCATCGTCATACTCATGTCTTTCTTGTTAAGCCTATTGTGACTGTGCTTCTCACCATGCGAGAGTCGAGGTGGGATAGAGTTGCCGATTGATATGTGGAAAAACTATTCCCACCCTCTTCTCACACACACACACACACACACGCACGCACGCACACACACACGCACACACACACACATACTTTTCTTTCTTAATTTTAGTTTGTCTTTCTTTAATCCTTATCATACAAAGCAGATTTATTTTTACGAATTAATCAATTACTCTAATATTTTTTGGTAAACCAATAAATTCTATAATACACATTGGTGGAGAATTTCAATACTGAGATGGGTATGTTTAAAACATACTGTATATTACCTTTAGGAAAAATTATGTTCTTTTTTTTTTCACAACTACACAAATTCCTTCCAATCCGAATTCTAATAATCTATCTAAACAAAACCAACACTAAATTGAAAATGTAAATGGAAGCTCTAAATTGACAAAAACTGGCACAACAGTGAAATGTTATTAAAAATAGGAACACTGGTGAATTAAGAATAGGAAAGCAATTAGCACAGGAATGAAACAACCGTACTCACCCTTCCCGTTTTCCTATCAGAAATTCTTAATTAAATTATTAATTAATCGCATCCAAAAACTAGTTCATTCTGACCTATCCTGGAAATTTCCAAAAATCTCTCCATAACTTTACATATTGTTGCTAACAGACAAGCAAATATAATTAATTGATTAACTAATTAATCGCCAAAATATTACTGTTCGGTACTTTGTACCTTCCCGACAGTTGGTGCAATGGCGAAATAGGCAACCAGCTTCGGAAAATATTGCCCCTAATTGTAGATGGTTGGGTTAAAATCATCCCCACCCCAACGCTGTAATCCAGGATTCATTAATGGATGTGTTTGTGTTACGTATTTTCTCGGAATACTTGATGCATTATTTATGAAGAAGATCTTAAATATAGCAGTCATCGTTTCCTTGTTTCGTGGCTAAATAATGACCCTATGTGATTCTCTCTGACCACTTGTTGGTCAGAAAGGGATCGTCGTGCGCTACCTGTTTAGAATGATTTTTAGAATAACTGTGAGACAGGTAATTCGTAATAGGACTTATATTTAGGTCATGGAACATCTTCCCACGACAGGTGACACATGACCTACAGGTGAGTAGGCGTTGACATCCTGATACAAAACTGGGAACACAGTTAATGCGGATACAGTGTTTCTTATTAATATGCTTGCAGAGGTAAATTAATCTTATTCCAACAATACACTTGGATGAAAAAGGCCTTAAAAGAATTTAATGTAGCTTGAAAAAAAACATCAAGTTCTATTAGTATGCATCCACGCTCTAAAACAAAACAAAAAAAAAATCGCCGCAACTTCCTGATTTTTATTGATCATTTTATTCCTTAAATCTTCAAATCTAGAGAAAATTGGCGGTTGGTTCTGTGGGTTTGGTCTTTTATGTTTGTTGCTCCTAGTGTTACTGCCAGCCCTGTTGGCAGTTTGAAAATGAATGTGGCCAGTGTGGCAGGGATGGTAGTCCTAGGAATGGAAGTCCGGAGGCTCATATGAGAGAAAAGTTGCCCTTTTTCTAAGTTTTTTCAGCAATAAAATTTATTTTCACATTAACTCTGAGTATCGGTAGGGAACTTGCAGAATGAAATCGCCATAAATAATATACTTACTACAAACAGTGTCTTCCACATTGTGATGCGCTTAAAACACTGCATCATACTGGTCTTATTATACTTTTTTTTTTAATTTACGTGCTATAATGAAACTCAATGATGCCTGCCCTGGTCTCAAGAGCCAAAAATGTCCAAAACATGAAGGAGCCTAGGTCTTCATGTGATAATTCATTATATGTATTTTCTCAAAATAACAAATGATTAGATTTGCGTGTGGGCGTTAATATCCTTAAAGCACAACAATAAGCTTAACGTTAAGGATACAGTTCCTTTATCGAGTGCGGTTGGGTTTACCTGTGAATCGTGTGTTCAGTACAATGATGGCCAAGAATTGAGGATTGCCAATATTTATTTTTGCTTTTTTGTCCTGAAAAAGGAGTTACCCTAAGTATTTTGTGATTCAAGGACACCGCCCTCCTCGCCCCGGTACCCCCCCCCCCCTCCCTGAACAATATCCTCCCCCGATCCAACAAAAGAAAATACATTGCTTTTGAGACCCTTTTTTAAACATTTTACATTTCTTGAATATTTAACTGATAATCTATATAAAAACAGAAATGTTGGCCATTGATTACTAGATTCAGAAAGCTCACTCAGACTCTTAGTTTTCTGCCAGAAATTTCAGTAGATTAACTTCTATTAAAAAAAAGTCAGCTTTCAGTGGAATGAAATATGCTACCAACTGAATCAACTGATAACTTTAAAAGGGAGTTACAACATATATCTTCAGGGAAATTTATCATTGATGATCTTACTTGTTATTGATTTTATGTTAGAAATAAGCAGTTTTTATCTTGAATCTTCATCCTTTTCAAGATTATTTTCGATTGATATATTCTATATATATTGTGTTCTTATGTACTTGTTTTTATGTAAAGTCTACTTAACTTTTTGAATGGATTTTTAGTATATAGTGTAACCTGTAAGTATTCCGTACTTTAAAAATACATTATGTGAAAATTCCCCAATTATTCTCTTGGGATGATGTAGTCATTTCCTCATACCTATTACATAAGGGGGTTGTTGGAGGAGGGGGTTGCACTGATAACATATTAAATTCCGCTAAACCCTCTCTCTCTCTCTCAAACGCGCACACACGTGCATATACAAACATAGATGTGATTTTTAAAATACATACCTAGGGATGTTAAATGACCGTGTTGATATGATGATGACTGAAGCCTGTCCATTTAGCCAAGCTTCAGTGAAGATCGAGGGCAACCTCGAGATGCTACCCAAAAATATCTCGCTTCACTCGACATTTCTGCGTAGCGTCTCTCGGAGAACTCGGATTTAACCTCGATGTAGTCTAGAATTTCACGACTACGTCTTGGTTAAATCAGTCGAGGTCTCTTAAATGCTGAAAGCCAAAGACAGTGATCATGTGACCTTCTTGGCATCAAGAGAATAGTGACGTTGCTTACGTTATATACCTACCAGTAGACAAATTTAAAATCTCTCACACTCTTAGAAAATAAGCATAAACTTTTCACGTTTAACAATTATTATTTAGCATTTTATTACACTAAGTCATGTCATATGGGTATGGTTTGAAAACGGGAATTAGTTAACATTTAAGCCACACGTGTATACAAATTATTTGTAAATCTATAACTTTTTAACGAGGGTTGTGTTATTATTTACCTTTTGTTTTTAAGCTGTTCATTCTTCCTCTTTATCAGATATATCGGTAAAAATCAAATGTATTCCATTCCCCCTTTGAACTTGTAATAACATATAGCACATGAATGCTCTGAAAACCAGCACATGTATATTCCGAAACTGCCTCGTAGTAAAAAATGTCACCAAAACGTAGAATTATACTCCTGTGGACTTGAAATAAACATCCGTTTGGTTTTGACTATATTCCGTAACCGCCTCGTCGTCAGAAATAACAATAGAAAACTAGAATTATTACTCCCGTGAACTTGTAAGAAACATCCTTCGATTTTGACTATATTCCGAAACTGCCTCGTTGTCAGAAATATCACCAAAAAGTAAATTTCTTTCTCCTTTACACTTGTGAATAATTAGTTTGACTATATTCCGGTCCGACGCTCCTTTTTTATCAGAAATGTCACTAAAAAGTAGAGGTTTCGCCTTGGGACCTTTTTTCCGCAGCAGTCCCAGCTAGGTGTGGCTCAGCTGAGACGCGCATGGTCAGTGTCGACAGGTTGATTAAATACTTTTCGAGCAAATGAACGTCCACGACAAGTATTTAACAAAAATTGACCAAATTAGTCAGATATTACGTAAGAATTTGGCGAGAGGTGACCAGCGCACCTGGACGAGTTTATTCCGTATAACGTCTCTAGAGCGTGATATAGGGTCACTTTATTCGGTTTTAGGGGTGTTTTAGGATGAAATGACTGTATTTTTTTCTCGGTATGTATGTCAAATAATACACTGTCACCCTCTCGCGATATATGCCATGAACACCTCTCGCTGACGCTCGAGGTGTTATGGCATATATCGCTCGGGTGACGGTGTATTATCTCACACTTAAAATTCCTACAGAAATCAATATCGTATCTTTCGTAGGCCTAAGTGTCCTCAGTTTTCGCTAGTGTTTTGTGACAATAAGTTGAATTAGACTTCCCTCAAGCATGCAAATATAGGCTACTATTCAAACATTTCCAGTGATATTTAAAGGGATAATAACTCTTCGTTTCGGCCAAAAAATGAATTTTCCTGGAGTAAACAACAATTTTCCCATACTAACCAATGGTCAATGAATCCATTTTTACATTCAAACTTAGTCCCTGGTTTTTTTCTAAAAAGTTTGGTTTTTTGTTAAAATCTCTTAAGAGATTATAACAGAGTATAGCCATCAATGGAGGTCACGTGGTCTAAAGACAAGCTCAAATATCAGAAAAAATAGCTAGAACTGCCGTTTTTTGGTAAAACAGAATATATTATATTTGTATGAGTTGTTCACAATGTTTTTATTGTGAAATATAGATCTCACACGAAGAGTTATTATCCCTTTAAACAATTTTATGTTATTATTATTATTACAACGCAACCGTTTGAACCTTCTCCGGTTTCTATTGTGTGATGTAACAATGGAATCTTTACAAAGGTTCTCATCGTACAACTCTTCTGGTCACGTATGAATTGCATCGCGTATAGCCGAGGGAATACTTCCAATAATTACCGAAGCAAAAAGAGAAACGAAATTTGGCAACACTTAGTACATGCTTCCTTTGATTCGGGAACACTTAAAACAGGCTATACTGTATGCAGACTTTTCACATCACAACATGTTATAATAGACATGCCTCGTACTGTAACGCCTCGTAAACAAAAAAATAACAAGGACTGTAATATAGTACTAAAATGTTTATACTTTTTATTATTTCTGCACAAGGATGATTCGGTAAGTGAGAAGAAACTTGATGTTGAAAAAATCATATAATATATATATATACCGAATTTAAACCATTTACGTTACGCTTATTTTCCAATGTTTCTGAGCCAGTTCCTCAATAAGTTGAGAAAGAAATTTGGTGGTGTTGTCGGTGGTGGTGTCGGTGGTGCCTGTGTAGGTGAGGGAAGCCCATGTGCGTTCCTAAAACTAGTGAAGGCCCTGTTGGCAATTCTTCTAGCAGCAGCGAAGGACTGGGCTTCGAATATGTGGTCGGGAATTGGAGGCGAAACCAAGGCCTCGATGCTCGCGAGATTTACCTTGGGGCCGATAGGACTGGCAAATATCTCTACACCTAATATAATAAAATATAATAAATATAATAAAATAAATTTTTATATCATTTTAGTTTTTATATATTAAGATTTAGATATCATTAACACTCCATGCAAAATATACAAAATTGTCGAAAACAGAATGAATTAATTTTATCAGGAGATAATGAATATTGGGAAACTCGATCACCCCCCCCCCCCCTTTCCACGCGCCAATCTGACCTATAAATCTTACCATTAGCCTTGAGCGCATTTGCCACTGGGACGGGGTCTTTCCCGCTATTTTTATTGCCATCTGTCAGTATCCATAATAAAGGCACGCGTCCAGCACCCGAAGCAGCACCCAAGACCGTTTTAGCTTTTTCAAGACCCACGCCCGTTGCTGTACTTGGACCTGTTGAAACATAAGAAGAAAAACAGGATAAATAACGAGTCTGCACGCTAGGATTTGGGACAAGTGTTCGGAAGAGAAATGCACTAGCTGTGCTGAGCGCAGCTGTTTTGATGTTCAAGTTGAGAACGTTGGTAGCATTGCTTTGCAAAAAGAACGATTTTTGCTAAAACAGCGAAACAGGTGACGCCAGGCTGAGAAAAATGACTGAAATAAAACACTCAGCGATGTGGAAAAATATTTGTCATCCCCCCCCCCCCCTCCGCCAAGGGGTAAGATCCTTCTTTACTTATGGCACACATACCGTTGTCAAATTTGATGCCGTCGATTGCCGTCTTGACGGCTGCAGGATTGCTATTGGCCGTGAAGGTGAACTGGGTGCGGGTAAGGGCAGGGGAAGAAAAGCTCACACAGGCAATTCTTGATCCTGTACTAGAGATTGGTGCCTGTTGGTCCACAAAGTCTACGATTTCCTGGAAATGGAATAAAAAATGATTATGATAATTATAAAATAAAAGGATAGGCTGTTCTTTAAAGAAATTTAAATCTAAGAGAAGAAACATATATAGACCTATTTTTGTCGTTCGTTCGTTACTGCCTCGAGCCTTTTTTTCTTTTTTTGAAACAAAATTTTGCCGTTGGGGAAGTGGAATCCTGTTTTATATTGCATTACATTCTGAACACAAACGCTGGTATTGAAAGCAAATCATTCTCAACAGCATAATTAAGGACAGCCTACGTGTATCAACACATGCTAACCATGCACCATTCGTATCCAGATGCGGATGAAAGGAGCCTGTAACCGCTTCCGCACGCAACAAGTCAATCCCAGTCCAATGTAAAGATTTTAATTGCACCTAATCTAAATCAAGTGACAATTTATTTCTCAGTCACCTAAATTCCTCCGTATTATGTTTCAATTCTAACTGCAAATTGAACTCACCTTCATCATGTCTTTGCCAACGGTGAAGTTTTGTTGTCGAACACTACCGCTGCTGTCGATGACAAATATCAGGTCTATCTTGGGTACAGCGCCACCATTCCTGCCCACTTTACTACCGGAATTGCAGAATGGAATGGCAGCCAGACCGCGATGTGGTTGTTGTTGGTAAAAACTTTGATAAAAATCCTCTTTGAAATGCATCTGCGACAGCTTGTTCACTGCGGAACCCCGTAAGACCTGAAATGATTGTTTGAAAAGTTTGGTAAATCTCTCAAATCTCAAGACTTTTTTTCGAAATTGCTCTCAAAAATCTGAAACTAAATTTTACAATTCCCATTCATGGTATGAGAATATCATTATTATAGTTACCTCCGCCAAGGAGGTAATGTTTTCACCCCTGTTTGTCTGTCTGTCTTTCTGTCTGTCTGTCATCAGCATAACTCAAAAAGTTATGGACCGATTTTGATGAAATTTTCAGGAACTATCAGAACTGGGTCAAGGAAGATATAATTAGTTTTTGGTGGTGATCCGGATCAATAATTTATCAATAATCAATAATAAAAAACTAAGTTATGGACCGATTTTGATGAAATTTTCAGAAACTGTCAGAAGTGGGCCAAGGAACAAATGATTAGTTTTTGGTGGTGATCCGGATCAATAATCAATCAATAATGAATAATCAAAAATATCCAAAATTTAGGGGTGAAACGGCATTGGATGGAGACTTTGCTGCCTTGGCGGAGGTCTGCGCTCTCTGAGTGCTTTTCTAGTATTTTAAAATAAGATTTAGATTCCTGACTTATATCTACGTGTAAGCTTCCGAGCTTCAACTTGACATCAAAATTGATAACTGACTTTGATTCGGCTAAAGGGAATTTGGTCCCTCTATTTTAAAGATATTTTTCGTACCGATAAAATTGATTTTCCAAAGGAAAGCATCGATTGGGAACTTACCTAATGAAGCCTCAACAAATAACAATGACAATACAAACAGCGCCTTCCACATTTTGATGCGTTGAAAACAGTGCATGAAACTCCTATACTGATGAAGCCGTATCGACCTCAGTTTTTTATATACTGTTGTAACCCATATCTATGAGTCTGCGTCATTTTCGGCTCGTCAAATCAAGTCATAGGGGAAATGTGGATTGAATTAAATTTGGAAAAAACCAGGATGCAGAGCGTCGTAATACTCCTGTCTTTCTTGGTAGGCCTATTGTGATAGTGCTCCTCACAATGCAATAGGCAGAGTAGAGGTGGGATCGAGTTGCCTATTGATATGTCGAGAAAACCATCCCTACCCTCTTCACACACACCCACGCACACACGCACGCACACACACACACATACTTCTCTTTCTTAATTTCAGTCTGTCTTTCTCTAATCCTTTTATTTTTACGACCCCATTTTATTATAATCAATTACTGTAACATTTTTTGGTAAAGCAATTAATTCTATAATAGACATTGGTGGAGAATTTCAATGCTGACATGGGTACTATATATTACCTTTAGGAAGGAATATGTTCTTTTTTCATAACTACAAAAATTCCTTCCAATCCGAATTCTATTAATATATCTAAACAAAACCAAAACTAAACTGAAAATGTAAATGGAAGCAGTGAAATGTTATTAAAAATAGGAACACTGGTGAAATAAGAATAGGAAAGCAATTAGCACAGGAATGAAACAACCGTACTCACCCTTCCCGTTTTCCTAGCAGAAATTATTAATTAAATTATTAATTAATCGCATCCCAAAATTTGTTCATTCTGACCTATCCTGGAAATTTCACAAAATCTCTCCATAACTTTACATATTGTTGCTAACAGACAAGCAAATGTAAGTAATTGATTAACTAATTAATCCCCAAATACTACTGTTCGGTACTTTGTACCTTCCCGACAGTTTCTGAAAATCTCATCACAAACCATCCACAACTTTCCCCATAATTTTGCTAACAGACAAACGGGACCAAAATTATAACCTCCTTGGTGGAAGTAAAATTAGGAAGACTAATTTATTAAGAAGAGGACAGCAATTACCATAGTATGTAGAATCTAACGGAGTTGTGCAATGGCGAAATAGGCAACTAGCTTCTGAAAATATTGCCCCTAACTGTAGATGGTTGGGTTAAAATCATCCCCACCCCAACGCTGTAATCCAGGATTCATTAATGGATGTGTTTGTGTTACGTATTTTCTCGGAATACCTGATGCATTATTTATGAAGAAGATCTTAAATATAACAGTCACCAAAATCAAAAAGGGATTTTATGCGCTACCTGTTTGGAATGATTTTATTTTATTTGAAAATTACTGTGTGACAGGTAATTCGTGATAGGATTTATATTAAGGTCATAGTGGGAACATCTTCCCACGACAGGTGACACATGACCTACAGGTGAGTAGGCGTTGACATCCTGATACAAAACTGGGAACACAGCCAATGCGGATACAGTGTTTCTTATTAATATGCTTGCAGAGGTAAATTAATCTTATTCCAACAATACACTTGGATGAAAAAGGCCATAAAAGAATTTAATGTACCTTGAAAAAAAAAACATCAAGTTTTATTAGAATGCATCCACTACCTGAAAAAAAATCTCCGCATCTTCCTAAATTTTATTGATCATTTTATTCCTTAAATCTTCAAATCTAGAGAAAATTGGCGGTTGGGTCTGTGATTAAGTGCTATAAAGAGACAGAATGGTCTCAAGAACCAAAAATGTCCAAAACATGACAATACAAAGCGGAGTCTAGGTCTTCATGTGATAATCCCTTATGTGCATTTTCTGAAAATAACGCATGATTAGCTTTGCGTGTGGGCGTTAATATCCTTAAAGCACAACAATAAGCTTAACGTTAAGGATATAGTTTCTTTATCGAGTGCGCTTGAGTTTACCTGAGAATCGTGTGTTCAATACAATGGTGTTCAAATATTGAGGACCACGCATAGTTATTTTTGTCTTTTTGCCATGAAAAAGGAGTAACCCATGGTATTAAATGATTCAAGGACCCCCCCCCCCCCCGCCCCTGTACCACCTGCTCGCCCCCCCTCCCTACCTGAACAATATCCTCTCCAATCCAACGAAAGGAAATACACCGCTTTTGAGTACCCTTTTTAAACATTTCACATTTCTTGAATATTTTAATGATAAGCTATATAAAAGCAGAAATGTTGGTCATTAACTACAAAATTCAGAAAGCTCACAATCTTAGTTTCCTACACCAGAAGTTTGAGTAGATCTTTTATTGAAACCTGTAAAATGCGTCTTAAACTTTATGGGGACTCCTCTAATTTAATTCCTACAGAAATCAATATCGTATCTTTCGTAAGTGTCCTCAGTTGTCGCTTGTGTTTTGCGAACAATATGTTGAATTAGACATCCCTCATGCGTGCAAATATACTATTCAAACATTTCCAGTGATATTTAAACAATTTTATGTTATTATTACAAGGCAACCGTTTGAACTTTCTCCGGTTTCTATTATGTGATGCAACAATGGAATCTTTACAAAGGTATCAAAGCCAGAATAAATGTAGCTGTTAAGTTATAAAAGGAGAACTTACGCTATTTTATCAACACTAAGAGGCCGTGAATTTCAATACAAAGGCTCTATTTTAGTCCAGACTATTTCAACACTCCTGGGTTAGCAACACACTGTATTGCATTGATATTACACGCGCCGAATTCTTACCAAGTTGTTCGGCGTATATTATTGATACTGGCAGTGTTTGCGGCACGGTAGTTCAAATGCGTCAATTTTTATGACAGGACTCTGATATACAAGAATGGCAAGCGACGTCGATCAAGGAACCCTCAAACCTGTCTCTGTGGTTCTTGCCATGGTGGACCCAAGGATTGAGACTGACAAACAGACTGGAAAGAAAACCACTATAGGGCCAATGGAGGTCCTGGAAGAGGAAAAGAAAATGGCTGCAACTTTGAGAAAGGGACACGAGAATCTTTTGACGAAAGAAGCCAAGGAGGCAGCTCATGCAAAGATGATTAGGTACAGGGTGCGTTCCTTGGCAGACGACACTCTTTTTAATCTGGAAGGGTGCACTGCACCTCTTCACGAACCTGAAGAAAAGTCGCCAAGGGGCAGAGTTACCGATAATAATAATGACAGTGACGAAACTCGCCTCGCCCCTCGGGAAAATGAAGTTTATGGGAAAATAGCAACCCCTGTCCTGCCTCGCGTCCATCGACGGTTTTTAAGAGAACACGGCTTTAATGTCGCCCGGTCGCCCAACGCCACAGGGTCAACCCATGGAAATTTGTTAGGTATTTTACCTTATCTACCCACCACAGAACAGCACTCTTTACAACATAAAATAGAGATGGATACTATGGCATTTCCGCGAATCACAAGAAATAAAACATTTGCTGCTTTTCGTGGAAATTTTGACCTGACACAGAGCTTACCAAACATTTCGCTTTCGTCTAGTCTGGACAGAGGACAGTCACTGATGCTTTTAGCAGAGAAGGGATCTGTCTCACGAAATGATTTAAAAACATTGAACCCAAACGATTCACTGACAAAGACACAGTCAATGCATGAGATATATTCGACGGGGGAAAACAATCTTCAAAAATTCAAGAATGAGTCGAAGAATACGTCAAACAGGATGGCACAATATTCTCAGGAGCAGACGAAAAAAATTTCGAAAAGACTGACTCGCTCTTTAGGGAACATACCAACGGCAGAGACAGATCCTGATTTCATTCCTTTTAATAAGGCATTTAAGCTACCGAAATTACCAAAAGGATTAAATGCTACGGCCTTGGCGAGAAATATTCAAAAACTGAGATACGAACGCCAGAAGCAAGAACTAAAGGAACTGTACCAACAGTACGCACCGACATTAATGTCACTTCTAGCAACTTTACCCGAAGAAACACCTGCCTTCCACGTAAAGACTACAAAAGCATAAACCATGGTAATATTGGAAAAGACCTCTATTAATAAAAAGAACAGTGAAATGACAGCAGACATATATAAAAGGAGAGTGTATTATCCAAAAACGGACCATTTATCCAACATGAAACAGGCCACGCCTTAAGAATATTTATTTATTGTATTTTCAGTGTTTTATGCGCATTTAGTATCA